GGCCTGGGAAAGGAAGTAGGGGAGGCTGAAAAGAGAGAGGGTAACAGTAGAGGAAGAAGGTAACATGGATAATTTAATTAAGTTGGGAAGAGAAATATTCAGAAGATGTTACAAGATACCATGTAATCAATTGTGCCATTACTGCCAGGATTCCATTCTCCTGTTTCTTCTACTCTGCTCCCTACCTTCCATCCTCATTGATTTTCTCCAAGCCCATGGCTTTTCCCTCCATGTCGATGCACAAGACTCCCAAATTTCTATCTCTAGATCTGACCTCTCTCCTTAACTTCAGGACCGTCTGTCCAAAAACTTATATTGGAAATATCTATCTGGGTGGCCCTGATGCATCTTAAACTCAACATGTACCAAATTATATTCATTATCTCCCTCTACCCTAAACTTGTTCTACATTCTTGACCTTGCAAATCCACATTCTCCTCTTTATTTCCCCTGCCAACGCCTGGCTTCAAGTCTAATAGCATCATAACTGATCTGCCTGCCTCTAACCTCGCCTCAATTTAACATGTCCTCCACATTTCTGGCACAGTAATTTTCCAAAAAGGAAAGTCTTTTCATACCTCTCTCCTCCTTAAAACTCTACTGGTCCTTTTTTGAGTCATAAGGTCTCCATGATCTGATCCCTGTATACCTCTCTCCAGCCTTAATTCCTACTTTTGCTCCCTTTGTATTTTATAACAGCTCTGACCTGAAGCATCCTATACTTCACTTCTTCATACCTTTCTCCTTGATGATCCCTCTGCCTGGGATGTCTTGCCCTCCTTGTCTACCAGTTAAACTTGTTATTCACAACTTTGCTTAAACGAGGAAGCTTACCCTTAGAGAATTACCCATTCTTTCTTTTGTGCTACCCAATGCCTTGTACTGTTTTGGAACATATTTTTTTACATGTCCATCTTCTCTGCTAGATGGGGCTCTATGATGGTTAATTTTACGTGTCATCTTGACTGGGCTAAGGGATGCCCACATAACTTTTTTAGATGTGTCTATAAGGGTATTTCCAGAAGAGATTAGCATTAGCATTTGAATCAGTAAACTGGTAGAGATGATCACTCTCACCAATGTGGCTGGACGTCATCCAATCCATTGAAGGCCTGGATAGAACAAAAAAGCAGAGAAAGGGCAAATCTGCTTTTTGCTTGAGCTGGGGCATCAATCTTCTCCTGCCCTTGGACATTGGCACTTCTGCTTCTTGGGCCTTCAGACTCAGATTAGGACTTATTCCATTGGCTCCCCTAGTTCTCAAGCTTTTGTGGCAGGACTGAATTACACCACAGCTTTCCTGGTTCTCCAGCTTACAGATGCCAGTTCATGGGACTTCTTGGCTTCTGTAATCATGTGAGCCAATTCCTATCATAAACCTCCTCTTATCTCTCTCTCTCTCTATATATATATCCTATTCATTCTATCTCCCTGGAGAACCCTGAGTAATACAGGCTCCATGACATCAAGAGCGAAGTCTTGGTCATCTATGTGTAACCCATTCCTGTAAGTTTCCGGCCTCATCAGCCTGTGCCTACTCCAAAAAGTTGTGTAGTGTGTGTCATATCTTATACCCAAATGGTATTAGAACAAGTCTTCTCCTGTCCAGTTGCCAGAAATGGGCTTTCTTTCAAATGGGGCTTCTAGGTAAGTTTCCACTCTTTTTCCCACTGTGGTTTTAGAGTGAAGAAGACCCATGCAGACACTAGGCTACAACTGCTACCAAAAATAACCATCCTTAGAAGTTAAAGGTCACACATAATCTCAGAGCCCCCGTAAAATCTCTGCTGGGCCTCTACATGAAGAATCTCTAAGCATCTCCAAGCTAGTGAGGGGCCATTTAACCTAAGATGAACCAAGCTGTTGCCTGGCTATGACTTGTCTAGCTCCAAAAGTTTAACTGGGCAAATCAGGTGTTCTTACTTGGGAATTTGAAGTCCAAAACACTGAAACAAGTTGCCAGTTGGTAGAAGGGGAAAAAGGTGAAAGGATGCTCAGTGGTAGTTCTGGGACCCTAGCCAGCCAAATCATGGATAAATTGCTGCAGCTTGAAGCCAGCAAAACTATGAGTGAGCAGGGGGAGGCCAGCTGGTGGAGATGGAGAAAGAAGCAAACACGTGAGGGTACCAGCTCTGTTATTGGTGGGGCACCAGCAGAGGAAGCTTGAGATTTTCTGCTGCTAATGTCTCTAAAGGCACTCTGAAGCTTTAGTTCCCATGAGAACTGGCTGTACCATGGCTCAGTATCAGATCCTGTGACATCCCTGTCTCTTCCCTTACCTCTTATTTATTCTTTGAGTAACCCCCTACCACCACCCGCCCCCAGTGAATTAGGTTGAATAGTTCTCTGTTCTTTCCACCTTGGAGAGGGACGTGATTAACACTTGTTGAATTACACCATATGGATTTTAAAAAGAGAAGGAGCATGTAAGTTGCTGTGGTGAAGCAAGGCTTCCTGGAAGAAATAGGACTTTCGTGGGAGAAGGGTAGAGGGAGCGATATCCCAGGCCTGAGACAGTGCACAGTAAATAATCCCAGGTCATGCCAAGGAAAAGGCTACTTAAAGAGCAGTAATTTGTAATTGTGTGGCGACGCTGAAGACGTGAGAGTCCTCGAGTGGCTTTCCAGGCTGCCAACAACCCTCACTTCAGTCTCCCCAAGTCATCATTTGGATTAGTCTGACCCCAAAAACTTGGGAAAGACAAAGAATGATTATTAAAGAAATCATACTACGCCATGGAAGATGGAAAGGTAAAATTGTGCTGTAATAATCCCTCAGACAGAATAAATGTTGTACTGGATTATTATGTTGTCTAAAGATAGTCTTTGTGAATGACACTTGTGATATTTTCAGCTATTTATTTTGCAGTGCTTCCATTTCCATTCTATTTGGAGTGATGGTTTCTCTTTTCCAATGCCTCCTCCTTTCCTTCATCTTGGCAGTGGGAAATAACCTGACAAGGTGCTTTCAGGAACTCTCTCAAGGTACAGCACTCAAAGTTCTCCAGAATTCAGAAAAGTTCCTCTTTTCAATCATGTTACTGTATGTGTGTGTGTGTGCATGTGTGTGCGTGCATGTGTGTGTGTGTGTGAGAGAGAGAGAGAGAGAGAGAGAGAGAACTACAAAAAGAGAACAGGCAGCACCGGCCAGCTGCCATGGAGACAGACATCCGTGAAGAGGCATTTGTGTAGAAACAGCCCAAGGGTTGGGGAAATACTTCAGGATAAAGCAAAACCCTTGAACATGCTTGAGCTCTGTAGAACAAACCTAAATGTGGCTTATGTACCCTTCTAAACCTAAACTTTTCCAGCATTTTAAATTAATGTTTAATATTTCATTTACTTAAAAAAATTATTTATTTATTTTTGGCTTTGTTGGGTCTTCATTGCTGCACACTGACTTTCTCTACTTGGCGGCGAGCGGGGGCTACTCTTCATTGTGGTGCGTGGGCTTCTCATTGTGGTGGCTTCTCATTGCAGAGCAAGGGCTCTAGGTATGTGGGCTTCAGTAGTTGTGGCACACGGGCTCAGTAGTGTGGCACGCGGGCTCAGTAGTTGTGGTGCACGGGCTTGGTTGCTCCGCGGCACGTGGGATCTTCCCGGAGCAGGGCTCGAACCTGTGTCCCCTGCAATGGCAGGCAGATTCTTAACCACTGCGCCACCAGGGAAGCCCAGCAACTTTTGAAGTCAGCATTTTTCCTGTGTCCAGGTGAGGAAGCTAAAGCCCAGAGGGCTGAGATAACTTGCTAAGGTTGCCCAGAAAATTAGTGGTAGAACCAGGCTTCCTGATTCCTAGCCTAGTGCTTCTTCCTCAGATGAGTGGCTTTCCAGCTCTCTCTCTCTCTTTTTTTAAACCCCACATATCTCTTTCTTCAAATGAAACCATTTAAGACGTCCAACATGTGAAACAAGTATGGCTGGAACTGCCCTAGTTGAAAATGGGGTGAATGTGGGAATTTTGATAGCTCAGCTACCCCCTCCCCAAGGGCAGCTGGGCCCTGAACTTTGTCTGAGGAGGGACTCCCAAAACACTGCTCCCGGAGCACCTGGTCTCGCCCAGAGCACAGACGAACTCCCTGGTTCATCAAAAAGGGACACTTCCCACCCAGAAGGGATGCAAGTTCATCTTTATTTTACTTTATTTTTTAAAAAAATCTATCTATCTATCTATCTGGCTGCTCCGGGTCTTAGTTGCCGCATGTGGGATCTTTAATTGCAGCATGCGAACTCTTAGATGCGGCGTGTGGGATCTAGTTCCCTGACCAGGGATGGAACCCGAGCCCGCTGCATTGGGAGCGTCGAGTCTTAGCCACTGGACCACCAGGGAAGTCCCCAAGTTCATTTTGATCTAGGCCAGCCACGAGCACAATTTTATCTGGTGGTGATTTATTCTTTCTCTCCCTCTCCCTGCCACTTCTCTTGAGTCACATCTGCAGTGCTCTGCGTGTTTAATCTCTCACTTATCCCTTCTGTCCCACTAGCTCCTTGAGCTGAGGTGCTTTCATCCTGGCAGGTGACCGCCATAAGCCTTTAAAGAGTGGTAAAATGAGATGGAGAAGTAATCAGAGGCCCCAAGGCTGCTTTAGGTGATGTTTGTTCAATTTCACCCACTCTCCCTCTGAACTTAAGGTTTTCCATTCAGGCTCATGAGTGCCACGCCCGGGGCATTCCAGCTGAGCTGTCTGTAGCTGAGCCAGAGTTTTTAGATGGCTGGAAAAACAATGTGCTGAAGAAGCAAGACCTCCATGCTGTCATCCTGTTGGGACTCAACCCAGTAGCCTCAGCCAGGCCTCACACAGCCAGGCGCTGAGATGGTCTGCCCCGTGTGGTGGAAAATGAGAGGGGAGTGAGCAGTACCCACAGCCCTCTGTCTCCCTCCCTCCCTGAGTTGGGAATGACTGCAGGGTGAGCAAGCATCACGGATGCAGGGTAGACTTGCCAAAGTGAGGGAGGTATGTATGAGCCATTGAGAATGACTCATGCGCTTTCCACCTGATACAGGAATGTCAGCGCTTCCAGGTTACGCTTTAGGAGATGATCAACTCTGATACAGGAATGTCAGCCCTTCCAGGAGACGCTTTAGGAGATGATCAACTCTAGCAAGCCCTCCCCAAGTGCCGCACGCTGCAAACTCCACACTGTTCCTGTTTTCCAGATAGGGAAAAACAAGACTACAGAAGAGAAGCTGGATCCCAAAATGACACTTAGAGACACCTCCATGTTTCAGGTGAGGATTCTGGTTTAAAATGGCTGTTGGCACTGGGGAGACTGTTCCAAGAGTGTGAGTCATCCTGAAACCGCACATTCCGTGACTGATGGCTATTCCCATGGCCCCTTTCCAGATGGCAGCTCTGCACCGTGATGAGTAACCGTAGCTCACATTTCCATAGAAGTTTACAGTTCCAGAAGCTCTTTCTCATATATATCACTGAACATATATATCATATATGTTCACTGTCATATATATGACATATATATCACTGTCAGTGCAGGTGACAGCAACCACTTTAGAAGTTTAAGCAGAAAGGGCGTTAATATAGATCATCAGGCGCTTACGAGTTGCAGGCTTCGGGCTGGCTTTCCATGAGTGTCTCCCAGAGCTGGATCCCAGAACTGGCCTACCCAGAGAGCATCTACTTCTGCCACAATTAGGAAGCCAGTCCCAGAAATGTTGGCTCTAAGAATATAATTCATTGTAATTTGGAGATCAGAAATATTGGCTCCAGCTCCACTTGTGATCTGTGCTAGCAGAATGCATACCGCATGCCTTCTTAACTTTGTAAATTCAAGTCCTTTGCAAAGACATCGCTTCAAGGGAGTCTGGAAACTAGGTTTTAGCCTTGCAGGCTCAGTGGTATGGGAAGGCACACTAGAAAGTTGGATAGATACATCTATTCTGTATCTGCCATCCTATACTATTTCTCCCTTAGTATTCACAGGAAATCTGAAAGTGACAGGAGAAGTGATAGTCTCATTTAGCACATGAGGAAAAGGGGTGTAATGGCAGGGCTAGAGAGAGAATAACGGGGAGACGCGAGGCTCAGGGACTGTTGCTCTGAGCAAGCGAAGTTTGTGTTGAGGTCTAGAGAATGCTAGGGCTTCAACTCGATGAAGGGCTGAGCAGGAACGGTATTCTAGGCAGGAACAGCACGCATAAAAGTTCTCAGGCTAGAGGGAGCGCAATCCACCTGCAGCACTGAAGCGGGGGCAGCGTGCCTGTGGGGCGGAGAGAGAAGGATGTGAGATGAGGCTAGAGAGGCACCAGGGACAGACAGGCAAGCCCTGTATGCTCCACTGAGGAACTTTGCCTTTGTCCTAAGAGCAGTGGGGAGCCATTCAAGCGTTTTATGGAGGGGGCTGATGTAAGCGTGTGTGGGACGTGATCATGTTTAATTTTGAAAAGGTGACAGGCTGCGGTGTGTGTCCTAATACCATGCCTGTATTCACTTAATCACTGTCTGCAATTTGCCACCGAACTCTCACTCTTCTGTAGTACTAAAGGGGTTTATTTTTGTGTCATCCTCATTCTTTCATTCTAAGCAACAGGAGAAAAACAACAGCAAGAAGAGGTCTACACATCTGGGAGAGTATTTCTAGGGGGTTTACATTTGTATAAATAAAAGCCTCTGGGGGAAACCATTAATTTCCCCTGTAGCTGCTTTAGGATGCTGGGGTGGGGGGATTCGGTGTGAGCTGCGGATTGTTCTGTGGGAGGAGCTCAACAAGGTGTGGAAGTGAATCAGCAGGCAAGGTCTCTGATGGTGCCTCTGGTCCTCTAGAAGTTGGCAGTGCTGGGCTACCTCGGTCCCCCTCAGGGATAGGTTGGAGGAGGGTGGGTCTCCTCTCACTGACCAGCACGTCAGGGTCTGGGCAGCCCATGGTCAAGTCCTGTTTCGAAGAGATCAAAGATCAGAAACTTAAAAAACAGACGTGACTGTACACCAAAACGACCACATCTCTTTAAAGAACTGGCCTCTGAGAGTCCCAGGTCTCAACTTCCTCCAGAAACCTTTCTTCCAGAGGCACCCAGCTCTGTTAGCGCCTTCCTCCGGGGAGGAAGGCATCCAGTAGGCAGTCTCACCTCCATGGAGGCTCTGAGTCTCCTAACCAGAGGTGAGCTTCTTGAAGGAAGGGATTACACTTTGCGTAAGTCTTTGTATTCCTTACAACATTCTTTGGGGTTGGTTTATGGTCTGAGTGGGAAATATTCACAAATCCCGAGATTCTCGACTTTCTTCTTTGGGTCATGGTGGCGGTGGGGTGGGGTGTTTCTAGACCCCAGGCTAGGAACCGTTGCTTAGACTAAACCTTCCACAGGACTTCTTGGAAGTGAACCTGTTTCTGATTCTCCCAAGCCTATGTACTGGGGGGCTGTCCACACCAGCCCTGAAACCAGTGACCAGGGGCAAGAAGTGTGCTTTGTGAGGTTCCCCTGGGACAGCGAGTGGAAGCAGCTGCGGTCCTCTTGGGCATGGCCTCCGCCTTCCTGCAGAGGTGTGCAGAGCCAGAGCTGGTCTGCAGATGCATTGTGAAACAGAGTTATTAACAACCATTTAACTGTGTGGGTCAAAGACATCGATGCTCATTGCTTGCTCTGCTTTTCTTTTATGGGTTTCCCAGAAAAACTGCTAAGGTAGGGAGCCCTGTGCGGCTCACGCACTGAAGTGTCTCACATGCTGGCTGCCTTTCAGAGCCACTGCTGCCCACCTGGGGAAAGCACTTAATTGTGGCATTTTGGTGTCTCTTTGTATGAGCAACCAGAATGTGTTGGGTTTGGTGCTCTGAAGCTCACTTCTTTGCTCAGTTGGACCCCCCTTCCCCCAACTCCGGTCGTCCCTGCTTCTCCATCTCTCCATCCTCTGCTAGCCAATTTGAATAGGAACTCAAGAGAATCATTTCTATTTATATTTAGGAATCCTTAAAAGAAATAGACGTCAAGAAGCCAGAGCATTACCCATTTTTTCCATTAAAAATGATAACAATGAAGTGATAAATGATTCATGAAGTAAAACATTATGGGCAGGGCTTCCCTGGTGGCGCAGTGGTTGAGAGTCCGCCTGCCGATGCAGGGGACACGGGTTCGTGCCCCGGTCTGGGAAGATCCCACATGCCGCGGAGCGGCTGCGCCCGTGAGCCATGGCCGCTGAGCCTGCGCGTCCGGAGCCTGTGCTCCGCAACGGGAGAGGCCACAACAGTGAGAGGCCCGCGTACAGCAAAAAAAAAAAAAAAACCATTATGTGCAGATAGTGTAGTCAGATTCCTAGAGGCAGAAAGTAAATTGGTGGATACCAGAGCTGGGTGGGAGGAGAGAGTGGAGAGTTATTGTCTACGGAGTACAGAGGTTCACTTCGGGGAGATGAAGAAGTTCTGGAGATGGTGGTTGTACAACACTGTGAATGCACGTAATGCCACTGAACTGTATGCTTAAAAATGGCTAGAATGGGAAGTTTTATGTAACGTATATTTTGCCACAGTAAAAGAAACGGCTGTGGACAGAATTATCTCAACGAAGAGACACTAAATGTGTTGAGTTTTAGCTTGGGGGCTGTGTGTGTGTGTATTTATATTAAAAGTAACCAGTTTCCCGAAAACACGTAACCTGCTCCGCGCCAAGAGGCTCTTTTCCTGTGCTTTTGTGCATCCTGAAGTTGTCTCCACAGTGTGTTGGTCAGGATGTGGGTGACTCATGGGGCATTTATGACAAATCCCTGAGTCGCGCGCGCGCGCGCACACACACACACACACACACACACACACACACACGAGTCACCTCCCCCACAGGCTTCTAAGACAGGCAGTGATTTGGATACTGCCAGAGAAATGTGCCTGGGGCAGGTAGGCGCGTTCCTGGGCGGCCTTTCCTGTGGCTTGGTAATAAAGGGAAGCTGTGGCCACAGCTCGCAACTCCAGGCCCAGCATTACTTCTCTCTTTAAGTTCAACCTGGATGGTGGCAGCAGTGAGAGCAGTTGGTACTGGAAGTGCCTGTTGGCCGCTGTGGGCTGTGCCTGTTTCAGGGGCCTCTTCACACAGTGATGGGAATGATGCTGGGTGTAGGCACACAAGACGGCGGGTGCGTCATGGGTGCCATGGTCCGGTTAATCCCAGGGCTGGTCTGACATCTTCCTGGTTGTTGTGAATTCGTTGGGGAGCTACTCAGTTATGTAAAGACATGGAGGGCTGAGCTGGACCTGGGCTTAGACTGGGCTCTGCCACTAGCTCCTTTGGTTACTATGGTAAATCACTTAAACCTTCCGGCCTCAGTTTCCTTCTAGATCAGGACTGGCCGGCACACAGCTCACGCACTGCCTACCCCTCCCGCGTCCACAGCAGACACCACTCACTACTCACAGCACTCTCCCCGAGCTCAGACACCCACTCAGAGCCCTTCCCACACTGCCCTCTTGCACCTCTTTCAGTGAATTGGAATTAGCATTTCAGGTGAGCCTATTTGCCTCCTAAGGTTGGTTCTCAGTTCTCACTTAGAATCACTGCAGAGTGTTTACAAAATACACATGTTTGAACCCTACCCATATGGGTTCTGAGTTAATTGTTCTGGGATGAGCCCCAGGCATTGATATATTTTAAAAGCTCTCCAGGTGATTCTATTGTGTAGCCAGGCTTGAGGGCCACTGGTTAGATGGTCACTAAGAGCTCAGATCCAGTCACTCTATGAAGGAGTGTTGGCAATAAGGTGGCAGACGTGACTGGGCCAGTTGGGCTACACTCTGGTGGCCAGAACATGAGGTCGAGAACCAGGAGACCTGGCTCTTGTTTATAGTGTTCACTTGTAATTCACTGTATCTTGACTGAGTTATTTATTCTTCCAGAGCTTTAGATTCCACGTGTATAAACTGGGAATAATAATCTCTTGAGCTTCCTATTTCGCCATATTTTAGGGGGATGAAATGGTAAAAGATAAATGAGAACAGTGCTACATTGTGTCACATAAATGACTCCATTTTAATAACCCAAGTGCCCCTAAATACTTTAAAAAATTTTTGCAATAAAACTTGAATCTATCCCTTAAGAGGATTTGGTGAAGATCAAGTGAGATAAAATACACAACAGCACCCAGCACGCGGCCTGGCAGATGTGCAATAAAGACTTGTTTAAAAATTTTCGTGGCGATTACTGCAACAGTAAATCACACACGGAGTTTTATGTGCCTTAAAGGAAGGATAAGCTCATTTCTGTGGTTGCTTTGTTAGATATGGCTCTTTATTTGA